CACAGGGAGCGGTACTCTCACGTCTTTTTAGACCAGAAAGAGGAGGGACAAATAGAAATCCCTTAGAGATAAAAAACCAAACGAGACACTTGATGCATTATGCATTGGTTGGGAGAAAATGACTTCGGTTAAGGAGATTCGTAGGTTTTTTAGAATGGTATGTTATTACTGCAGGTTTGTGGAAGGGTTTTCTAGCCTAGCCGCTCCTTTGACCCGACTCACAAAGCAGAATGTTAAGTTTGAATAGAACGAGGATTGTGAAAGGATTTTTACAGAACTCAAGAAGCGGTTGACTACCGCACCCATTTTGGCTCTACTGAGTGGGACGAGTGGATACACAGTGTACAGTGATGTCTCCTATCTAACATTGGGTTGTGTTTTGATACAGCATGAGAATGTCATAGCCTATGGGTCTAGGCAGTTGAAGAATCATAAAAAAAATTTCCCCACTCACGATTTAGAATTGGTTGCTATTATCCACGCCTTGAAGACCTGATGTCACTACTTATGTGGGGAGACTTTTGAGATTTACACAAACCATAAGAGCTTAAAGCATATATTCACTCAAAAGGATCTCAACATGCGTCAGAGGTGTTGGATAGAGCTCCTCGAGAACTACGAGTAAGATTTTGTATCATCCAGGAAAGGGCAATGTGGTAGCTAACGCATTCAGCAAAAAAAATGCAAGTATGTTGGCTCACCTAATGGTTTCTGAATATAGAGTAATAGGGGTTTCACAGCAAATACGGCTTCGGGACTTGAAAAATGTTACATGTCTGGCACATCTAACAGTCCAACCTGAACTAATTCAGAGAATAAAGGAAGCCCAATTGACTGATTCCACCCTAGTAACTCTTAAGAAGGATGCAGAATAGGGGGTAAATCCATAATTCAGGGTCTCCACTGATCGATTACTCAGATTTTAGGACAGGATGTGTGTTCTAGATGACAATGAATTAAAAAAGGACATCATGACATAAACTCATAGCTCAAGGTTCGTCATACACCCTGAAAGTACTAAGATATATCAAAGTATGCAACCCCAGTTTTGGTGGAGCAGGATGAAAAGAGAGAAAGTCAACTTTATCTCCAAGTGCCTAGTATGTCAACAGGTTAAGGCTAAGCATCAACACCCAAGAGGGCTACTTCATCCATTACCGATCTCGGAGTATAAATGGGAATATATTACCATGGACTTCGTGACAGGGTTGCCTAAGGCACGCTCAGGATATGATGTTATCTGGGTAATTGTTGACTGGCTCACCAAGTCCCCTTACTTCTTAGCTATCAAGATAACCGACCCTTTGGATAAGCTAGCAAAAATCTATATCAGGGAGATAGTTAGGTTACATGGAGTCTTGATGACAGTGATATCCAACAGAGACTCCAGGTTCACTTCTCGGTTTTGATATAGTTTTCAGCAAGTCATGGGAACGAAACTATCCTTTAGCATAGCATTCCACCCTCAAATTGATGGACAATCAAAGAGGACGATTCACACACTAGAGGATATACTCCGAGCTTATGTTCTAGACTTTGGGGGCCATTGGGATGATCACCTACCTTTGATAGAGTTTGCCTACAATAACAGCTATCAAGTAAGTATAGGTCACCGATCTGCTTAGAAGAGGTGGGCAATAGAAATTTGTTTGGCCCGGATCTTGTAGAGGAGACTATAGCCAAGGTAGTTAAAATCAAGAAGAACATCCAGACAGCTCAGAACAGATAGAAGAGTTATGCAGACACCCAGATGAGGGATTTGGAATTTGAGAAAAGCGATCGAGTGTTTCTTAAGGTCACCCATTTCAAAGGAATCAGTAGGTTTGGCAAGAAGGAGAAATTAAATTCCCGATTCATTGGTCTATTTGAAATCTTAGATAGGATTGGTACGTCTGTCTACAGACTAGTACTACCTCAAGAGCTATCCAAGGTCCATAATGTGTTCCATGTGTCTAGACTACGCAAGTACAACCTGGACCCCTCACACATCCTATCCCACGAGCCCCTTTCACTTTAGGAGGATCTATCCTATGAGAAGGTATTGGTAGGCATTGTAAATTAGAAGAGCTAAGTGCTTCTCAACAGAGAGATTCCCTTCGTCAAAGTCCTATAGCATAATCACACATAGGAAGAGGCCACTTAGGAGATAAAATCGGACTTCAGAGCACTGTACCCCCAATTGTTTAACTAAGTGAGAGGGTGACAAATTTGAGGGACTAAATTTTTCTTAAGGTGGGGAGAGTTGTAATTTTTTATATAAATAATAAAATAGAAAAATTATTAATTTAATTTGTTTTGATTGAATTTTTGAGAAAAAATGAATTAGAGACGAAATTGAAAATAATTTTAGAGAAAATGGGTGAAATTTTAAATTCGGATGGTGTTTTTGAAAGAAAATTTAAAAAGAGAGGGTTAAAACACAAAAAGGAAAAAGTTTGGCAACATGGGACGAGCCGGTTAGTAGTTACAACGAACCAGAGCATGCTACATGGCAACCTCACTGACATCGGCACCACACGGGAAGCCACGTAAGCAATCCACGTGCTCGGCAATCCGACAGTCCAAATCTCATCTCGCGCTCATGAACGACCCATATGTATTTTCTCTTTAAGTGTGATCGAATGATCAGATTCAATCCGATCGTGCAGTCCAGCTTCATTCCCCGAATAAGATAAATCTAACGGACGAAAGAGGGCCACGTATTCCTAAACGGACGACCCATATAGACACGGGATGAGTATTTAAACATCGCGTCTCAAGAAACCCTAACCCTAGCCACACCTGCCCTTGCTAGAGAAGAAAAACTAGACACCGAAGAAGGAGACCGACCACCAGCCGCCGCCGCACCGAGACCACTACTAACTGCCAAAAAAGGTAAAAAATTTCCCCTCCCTGAATTCCGAGCCTCCCTGTGACCATATCAGAGCAAAAAAGGTGGCGAGTAAGCTGGAAACTGAGGTTAAAGCCTGACAGAGCCGTCACGGCCAAAACCCTAAACCCTCTTCAATGATCCCCTTCCTGTTTTTTGTTTCACACGATTCTTTGACCATTGTGCTAACTGTCCCTTTCTGTGCAGGCTTACTTCTTCCCCAGCCGCGAAGGAGAACCAGCGAAGTCACCGCACTCGAAGACCTCATTTTCTAGCCAACCGAGGATTCATAACGTATTGTTTTGCAGGGACACGTGTAAAACTGGCCAAAACCAGCCAGATCGAGGCAAACCACTACCATGGGAGGCAGAGCCGGTGTCGAAGCACGGTGCCGCCGCCTTGCCGGAATCCTAAAATTGACCGAAAAAGGTTTTCAACACAATTTTAGATTTTTGGGGTATTTTTAGATATGTGACGAGTATTTTAATTTCTGTAAGGAAAATTCAGGAAACTCAGGCCTCGTCAGAAGGCATTGTGGGTAACACAGCATTTCAAGACACCAATCCGACTAAGAATCTCTCACCATATTATTTGTTACGGTAAATTGAGACTTAATAATCAATAATCCTGTATTTTGTAAAAATTAAAAAAAATCCTAACTATAATTACAGGTCAATATTAGAGTCGGAACTGGTCAGTGTATGATTACTCTAGTTAAATATTTATTTCCTTCTATGTTGTTTAAGATGTTTACTATTTCATTGTATACATCAAATTGCTAGTTTAAAATATTTTCTCGGTTATTTGATTTATTTGGTTATCTGGTTACTTGGTTATTCGGTTATATTAAACTGTATCACTTGCTTAGATGCTGTTTAAATTAATCTATGAATATGTAATGAGATATTAGTATGCGATTGGTAGTTTTTTGGACAATGAGAATCTATATATATGGAAGCTTACTAGGTACCTTGGGAAATGGTGGACGGACCAGGTAAATAGAAAACCCTATTGTGGACATTATTTCAGCCGGATGGGGCTGAGAAGTCTCATACCGGAAGGGTTTGGGAGATATAG